CATGCTCATCATGGGTAAGAATACCGAACGATTCTCAAGCCTCATACAATCTGGTTTCAAGATGGAGGATATGGGTGACTGCTCCTTTTATCTCGGAATGCGACTGGAACGAGACCGTGCGGCTAAAACTATCACCTTAACTCAAGATAAGTACATCCTGGCCATGATCGAGGAATATGGCATGACTGACTGTCATCCAGTCACGACTCCAATGATACCTGGTACCTATCTCTCTCCAGCCTTGGACGACAATCATCAACAGTTTCTCACGACTGGCCTCAACTACAACCGAGCTGTGGGCCTCCTCAACTATCTTGTATTGTGCACTCGACCAGACCTGGCGTTCGCAGCGGGCCAGCTTGCTCAACACTTGAAGAAGCCCGGTCAAGAACATTGGGCTGCCTTCAAACAAATTCTACGTTATCTTCAAGGTACTTATCAGGAAGGTTTAGTTTTAGGGGGGGGAACCATCAATTTAAAAGTTTATGCCGATTCAGACTATGCTGGCTGTCCTACCACTCGTCGGTCAACTTCAGGGTTTGTGTCAAAGGTAGGTAATGGATGCGTTAGTTGGCGATCAAGGAAGCAACCTCCGGTGTCAACATCATCAACTCAAGCTGAATACCGTCCTGCATATGAAGCGGCTCAAGAAACGGTCTTTCTACAAAGAATTTTAGAAGACTTAGGATGTCCTCAAAATGGCGGCACCCCGTTTTTATGTGATAATCAGAGCTTGTTAGCATTACAGAAAAACCCATTATTTAAAGACAGGTCAAAACATTTTGAGGTACATCTTCACTGGATCAGAGAACAGGTAGAAAGCGGTATTATCACTCCCACATATATTCCCACCAAAGAAATGCTGGCTGATGTATGCACCAAGTCACTTCCACGTCCACAACATGAATATCTTACGAATCTAATTAGATCATAGGATGTTTAGATTGAGGGGGGGTGTTAAATTTCGATTCCAATATTACCATCCTATAATCTCTTAACTACCATTTCCGCATTGGTCATAGTATCTTACATTTCCTTTTCTTCTCCTCAACATCAATTCGCATGTTTTACTTGTCCCAAAGCAGCGCATGAGAGACGCAATCCTGATTATACCTAACCTATGTCTAAAAGAACTACTGCCGTATAAAGAGCCATTGTTTGTGCTACATCATTGTTTTTCCTCACTCAAACATTGTCATCTTTTATCGTGCCACCTTCCAACAGGTGATTAGTTCTTTCCATCACTCCTTAGTGATCTCTTAGCCATAGCGCTCTTCTTAATCACTAACTCGTGATTCTTATCAGGTCTGCATATAGTTTATATCTTTTTCTCTTTCATTTCTCTTAATGCTGCTCATGGAAATATAATACTCAAACATTGTCATCTTTTATTGTGCCACCTTCCAACAGGTGATTAGTTCTTTCCATCACTCCTTAGTGATCTCTTAGCCATAGCGCTCTTCTTAATCACTAACTCGTGATTCTTATCAGATCACCTCTGAATTGCCTACTTTATTAATTTTACCGGTTCTCTTGAACTTTGAAATCACAGTATATACCGTTGTTGGTGGGTAGCCTAATTCAATTGCAATCTGCATGCCCCGCAGGCCTCCTTCATGCATCCCAACAATCCTAGCCTTCTCCTCTGGTTTCAAAGATCAAGTTCTCATGATTTTCAGGATGAACGTGATGTGTGAGTTGTGAGGAAACAGTTTTCAAGAACAACAGTTCTCTGGGCTGAGGTCAAAATACATTAATATTTACGTAAAATTTTGGTAGGGGACTGTACATACATACATACATACGTTGGGGATCAAGGGGGTCAGGTTGTGGGCGCGCTGAGTTTTTGGGAGGCGCGTTTTTTAATGACAAAAATGGCTAAAAGATCAACATATTTTGTTATTTCATCATTTTAAAGTCTAAAAAAGTGATTTAGTCATAGTCTATATCATCAGGGTTCCATGGTTCACCAGAGCTATCTACCACAGAAGCATTGACATTTGAAGGCGAGACAGAATGGACAGAATTGATGTCAAAAATATCAAAATCAAATAGGGTATTTATAAGCCCATCAAAACCTAGATTCATTGGCAAAAGAAAGGGATCAATGGGTGCATCCTCAGGAAGAAAAATTCCAGTCTCAAATTGTTTGAGCTCATCAGGTCCCAAAAAGCCTCCAGAAGTGTCCTCCGAACTGTCTTTGACAACTTCGATTTCAGCGCCCGTGTTGGATTCCTCGGGTTTGGTGTGATTTAATAAGGTGAGCCTCACTTGCGAGATCATAGTGAGATGAGTTTTGGTTAGTCGTGATCGGTTTTTGGTCTTTGTTGCCCCCATGTCCGAAAACAAACTTTCGACCCCTGCCGCATGAGCTACAAGCTCAAGTACTTTGATCGCAAAAGTCTTTAGTTGAGTGGTTTGGAGGGTTGAGGGTAGGTTGAGCCAGTAATCAAGTGCTCGTTCATCTGAGAAGAAACAAATCAGTGGCACTCGAAGCAGGACCGAAGGCAAATGTAAATAACTGACAATTCTTTTTACTAGGAAAAAGACCTGTCCCATCGAGGTAAAGTTGTGCTTGATCCTTCAGATTAATACAGTCTGCCTTTGAGTATCCTCAGAGTTGAGCTAATGTGACAAGCATTTTCTTGATGACCTTAATTGGATACTCTCCTGATACAGCAACTTGACGATAAGCAGGGCTGAGAAAGAATGCGATAATGTAAATTGGTTCATTGTATACTTTGGCTCGTTTATCGACATACAAGAGACATTGTTTTTTGAAATCGATGTAATTGGGCCAGACCGACACGTCGATCTTGCTGATAGATAAGTAGACACCTAAGATCTCCTTCCATATGTCACCAAGAGAGGTTGTGGCACGTTCTAGACGAGCCAATGCATCGACTACAGGCTTGAGAAACATCACAAGAGCTTTATTTGCAGTAAAGTGATCACGCGTACGAACAATGTTCCAAACTTCAGGTGGCATGCTCGGAGTCGAGATCGATCGGTCTTCAGCCATCTCAAAACATTTCAAAAGTCCGAGTTCATGCTCATCAACAGACAGGCACACCTTTGCAAAGGTGAACCATCGAGTCATACAGGCTGATTGTAAACCATGCTTTACCTCATTTTCTTTCCTCCAAGAAGCTAAGTGTTCACTGAAGAATGCGGAGGAATTGAAGTAATTAACTATTTTTTTATTTCCATTGACAGCTTGTACTATGAGTGGGTGACTCAGTATGTCCTTTGCAAGGTTGTTGAATGCATGTAAGACACATGCTAATCCAACAACATGCGGATGAGCTTTGTTAATAAGGGACTGATTGTAGTAGCAATCAAAGATTAGAGACATGTCCAAAAGGTAAGGAATGAACCAAAAGAAAAACAAAAGACTGACTCGAAATTTAACCATTGAGGATGGCGAGTCACACTGCGAATATAATGTATTTTTCCGAGGTGAAAAATGATTACATTTATTTCACAAAATGATTAAAAATGCATTAATTCTGCATTAATTCTGCATTTTTCTGCATTAATTCTGCATTATTAATCATTTTGTGCATTAATGTCAATCATTTTTCACCTTGGAAAAATACATTATTTTTCCAGTGTCAGTAACAACTGCATTGATCTGATCCCAATTAACTTCAGATCGTGCCAGAGTTTCGTCGAGTGCCAAGACCAAGTTTTCAGAGGTGTGTCGGGTCTGGTGAAGGTCTAGTGCCTTGATGAAATGCTTGACCTCAGTTCCACATAAGATTAGGACAGCGTATACACTGTTCCTTCCAACATCAGTCCATCCATCTAGAGATACTGTAAGACCGCTTTGTTGTTTAAGATCTTGGCGCATCTCAATCACACATTTTGCATGAAGCTTGGGAAGAATCCAATCCGTCATCATATATCTAGAGGGAGTATTGTATGCGACAACCGAAAGATGTTGTTGAAATAGTTGAAAATGTTTGTTATGGAGGAAAGCAAATGGAATATGACCTGTTATCAAAGACCTGAGAAGGATCTCATATAACTCGTCACACTTCTTCTCACTTCTTTCACTGAAGTGATGAAGGTTGTTCTTGTTCTTTGTAAAGTCAAGATGGATCTTTTCTTCAGGAGCTACTGAGGGAGGGATGACAGGAGCAGCAGAGGATGAAGTAGATGCTGGTTGTAGCGTCTTGTTGTTGTCGTCATTGATTAGTTGCCAGTATTCGGATAACTTATTGGCTGGTATTGATTTGCATTCAGTGGTCATATGGGCCTGGAGATAGGAAGGCTTCCCGTCCATTATTTTCTGACAATATTTGCATCGGGCTGTCCGTCGCGCCGCGGTTGAATCACGTTCTTCAGACATCTCAAAGCCAGTCCATCGTATAGTGCAGGTGTTTGCCGGTGGAATCCACGTGTATCTCTTTGGTGAACTTTTAGAATTTGAGAGCTTTGGCTTCAATCGTCGGTCTTTTGGCATCGTGACTTTATTCTGGGATTGGATGGAGGGCAGATCACAATTGGTAAGTGGGAAGTTGCAGTATACATCATCTTACATGCTCCCCCCAAAAAAGGCGCGCCTACCCCAACTTTTGAGAAAAAACCTGCGCCTCGGCGCGCCTACAATCAGGCGCGCCCAAGCGCGTTTTTTGCGCCGCGCCCACAACCTGACAAGGGGGACTGAAGGTTGGGATGGATGTTGTGCGGTGCGAGTGAATCTTTTTTTTTGAAATGTTTGTTCGAAATGAGTCAAGGCAGATCACGATCGGACTTGGAGAATGGCTGCGGGTGGTCTATTGAATTCACGATTGATCCAAAATGAAAGTTGTGTGAGATATTCATCGTTCCTCGAGATGTGCACAGTGCGCGTGATTATGTACAAGAAAAGCGCGTCTAAAAGTTTGAAGCTAAACACAAAATTAAAAATTAAATTCAACACAAGCTCTCATCCAGAACACAAGCTTTCTTAAAGTTGTCTCTCGTCAAATCATCGATCTTCAAATCCAATCAAAATGTCTGACGCTCCCGCAACCAGTACGACTGCTACCAAACGAAAGTCAACAGGCTCTTCTACTGCTCCTAGAAAGAAAGCCGCAGTAAAGGATCCTCATGCGTCGGCTCGTGATCTGGTTGCGTCGATCAATGAATCTCCTCTTACTTTCACCTCACCTGAAGGAGATGATGAAGTACGAAAGACATTTGTGGCTATTGCTGCATATACCAAATCACTCGAACCAGTACGAAAGTCTGCATCGGATATCGAAGACGCGAAGGAACGATTGAATCGTACAATTGTGGGTGGTATAAAAAAACTTATGACAGTGAGTTCTATGACGATTTCCTCTGGCTTTATGATTTGTGTTTTTCTTTGATGCTTTACTGATTTTTGATATTTGAATACAAAGTGGAAACCTTCTTGCAAGACCGGTAGCGCTAAATTTTCACACGATGGGATTTGTACCGATCCAATGGTATTCGGAGCTCTTCTTGGACTAGATGATAAACCGAATTGGAAGATGAAAAAGTATACTATCAACGAAATTGAAAATATTCTTGGTGAACATATTTCAAAGGAGATCAGGTACAGAAAAACTAAAATTCTTTCGCTTTGAAGTTAATCTCTTCAAACTAATCAATTTGGGTTTTTCATCAGATATGATTGTTTATATTTGACTTCTGATGTCAATGTTCGTTGGAACGAAGCTACTGGTGAATTCAAATTCACAGGCTCGTATGGAAAGCCTGTCTGAAACAGTCTCCAACTTCCCTGTTCGCATCAACAGAAATTGTCTCGGTGAATTCATCTTCAGGCTAGGCTTGTATGAAAAATTTTGGATCAAAAAAATGTGAATCTATGCTACACTAGGTCTCTGCAATGGAATGCAAACTGCTCAATTTCTATCAGACGTATCTTTTTGCACTACATGTATATATTCAAAATGTATTAGACTCAAAGTGGATATGAATGAAGATATGCTACATGGTGTATCCTCTTCAACACGTTCTGTCCTTTGGATAACAACACATTTTCAGTTTAGAACTATCTTTCTGCAATATCTCTTCCCAATGGATGTTTCAAGTTGATGATCATTAAGCTGGAGAAGCGAAATGTCCGTTCCACAGTGACTTGATAAATGTGTCTAGTTTCCAAGGAACAATTAAGCAAGAGAAAGCTTTGGTTTATGAGTTTATAGCTACAATGATGTTAGCTTTACAATGATGATACCTGAACTCGATCAACTCTTTGCTCTTCCCAAGTGCACTTATGCACTTGAGCTTTGAGATGAGCAGCCAAACTGGGTTTAAATATTCGGATTGGATGTTCTTCCACCGGAACGTAGTGTCAGTGATATGAATGTACCAAAAGCCGAAGCTTGGTGTGTGATCTTTTCCAATCAGCTGGTTTTGGCTTTTGATCAGCAATTTCATATCCCAATTCCAACCTGTAGAACATTTTCAAAAGCTTTCAAACACTTCCACGGACTCATGAAACAACAGGAGCGAAAAAAATGCCAAAAAGATTAAAGAGCACTCGAAAGGTAAACATAAATAACACCCATGGTCGCTGATCAAGACAACATCAATCAAGGTTCATGTACATTCAAGAAGATAGTCTCGTAGAGCTGTGATCAATGTCTAAAAGATGAGATATTCATTATTCAAATTCAACTGATATCTTATTATTGTAACAGAGAGAAACCTTTGTATCATGAGAGTAACGAAGAAGTAAGATGAACAAGACTAAGGACAGCCAAAAAAAACAAAGGAAATGTGACAGTAGGAAACGAAAAGTAGAGGTAATTAAATTGGGTGTTCATTTCAACCAGAAGACACATCATCAACAGGATCAAGTGCTTGAAAAAACATTGCATCCCATCTGCATTTTGCACAAACTCAGTAGTTATATAGCTCCTTCAAATAAAGTGCAATGAAGGCCTAACCACAAAATGGGTGAATTGGATACAGGTTAAAGTCTAATTTATTAATGATGCAGACTCGAATTTGATTTATATGAGGACCATCATAAATCTACGATCCATCCACACCTATCCACACCATCAAAGTAGCAGTCTTACTGATTAGGTAACAATCATCACATTACTAAGCAAGATATTCCATGGTTCTGAATTGACAACAATCAAAATCCACAATTACCATGATTTGAAATCTCTGTCAATATTACAAGTATCAAACTTTGCATGGTTGTTTAGCTTGTAGTCTATTCAGGATTACACAAAGGTTCATCTTCAAATACTTCATACTTTGGAGTTGTATCTGTTGATAGATCCTAAAGGAAGATGTTCAACTCAGGTTGTATGATTTGATTGAATCCGCATCACGTTGATAATTCAGATATGACATATTTTGCACTTTGAAAAGTCTAGCCCACACTTCTAGTCTTGGGATCAAATGCTAGAGAAAGAGTTTGATGAACTTATGGTATAACCTCTATAGCACTTTTGCTCACAGCTTGGAGAGACATTGTGCAGTTCAGAGAGAAATAATCATGTAAGTATATACCAAGAGGCAGGTGAAATGAGAGGCTTTTCCATGCTGGAGGTAAGTTGAGCTACATAATCTCATGTCAAATCCTCCAGAAATATAATGGTTTCATGGCAAGTGGCAAGCATTGGATAGGCATTCTGTGGTTTATGAAAAGTGCAAAGTTTATCATGGGAGAATGCACAATCTACACAACAAATCAAGCCAAGGACCACTTACGTATGAATTCGATGGCACATGGGTTGTTGGTGCATATATACGAGTTTGAATTTAAGCATGCTGTTTCATGGTTAATGAACATTTAGAAAGATCTGCTTGAGTTCATCTAGACAGATTGTGACGACTTTCAAGTTGAGTGCAATGAATGGATAGAATACTGACAAACCACTCTCTGGTCAGTGAGATAAGAGTAAGTTTTGCAGTCTTGCTTGCCTGAAGGGCCACCATTGCCATCAGAGCAACTGGCCATTGTGACACACAGGTCTTTGTGATCTAGCATGATGATTCATGTAAGTCTCAATCAGCTTTCAGTAGCATACAGCTTGGGATTTATCAGCAATTCTCTTACTTGGCACATGGCATTTTTCTATGGTACAGTCATATTGATTAAATTACGTGTTGTCTCTCTGGTTTCACTTGACTGATCCCAACAAACCAAGCAGACATAGCAGAAAAGACCCCCGCAAGATTTTTTGGTGCCTGGATGGGCACATTTGGAGCACCCACTTCTGTCATCAGCAACAGAGACACGATACGGGCATCCAAATTTGGAAAGCCTTGGTTGAACGTCTCAACATCTCTGTTTACCGCTTGTCAGAAGACCATCCTCAGGTGGCCGGCAGAACAATAAAACTGGGGTCGGGTCCTGTGCACATTCACAGCAAAGTGGCAGACACAATGGTTAGAAGCTCTCCCTTCAGTAGAGTTTGCAATCAACAGTGCAAAAAATGTTGTGACTGGCCTATCACCAGTCCAGGTAGTGTTTGGACAACCGGCAAAACTTTTCCTGTTGACCGGATCTATTGACAACTCCCCACCCTTGCTTGAAACCTGACTTTGACAACAGGAGGGCACATGGGCCCAAATGCAAGATAACCTGTGGACCAGCAGGGTACAGCAAGCATTGAAACACAACAAATGTCATGTCAATGTGAAGATTCAAATGGATGGATGGGTTTTTTAAAATCAGGTCATTGGTGAGGTAGAATCTTGAGCAGAGTCAATAAGCTCCAGTAGTGGTACAAACAGCCATATAAAATCCTGGAAATGTTTGACAACAGCCAGAGAGTCCGATCAACCTACCAAATGGGGACAAGAGACATACAGTAGTTAAAGTCTACTCTGTGCTACACCTGACTACGGGTGGCCCCGGGGCTGGCCCCGGGCCCAATTGTCAGGCATTTTTGATTTTGATTTTTGGATTCAAAAAAAAACTATGTACAAGGGTCAGGTAGTGGTTGGTGAACCACATAACTTGGTGGCTAGGTGCTCAGCATGTCAACCACTTTGAGTTTTTTAGTTACACTATACATGTGAACCTTTTTTATCAGCCAAGATCTGCCAAGATATAATCTGAACATCACCTTGCAAGGTATTTTCTCAGCACTTTTTTGAACAAGCACTTAGCTCAACCAATTCAGCTCCTCATCACAATGGCCTTTTCTAACCGGAGGAAAAATGGACTGACTGGGCCTGAGGCTGAAAAGATGGCCAAGCATTACCAAGGACATTGCATGATTGCTAAAAATGCTTCCATGCACATTACTGCAATCTGCAATCACGAGGACACAGTGTAATCTGTTCACTAAGAAGATTGATGCTCAGGCTCAGCGTCAAGATCAACATGAAATATCATTTCACCTCATCTCACTCAATCACTTTCTAGTTTTACTTGAAAATGATTGTATTCTTCATTGCCATTTCCTTAACAACCTTCTCAATCCTTTAGTTCAAAAGTGAACTCCCAATATAATTTGAGAACGAGGTTCATTCATTGAAGCTTCAAGCCACATGACCAGGGCCGGGATGTTCAAGTATCCGTTTGTACCAGGGCCTTAAGATGTTAAGTACCCAGCCTAAGATGCTAAGTACTCAGCCTAAGCTGTTAAGTACCTAACTTAAGGGGCATAAGTACTTAGCCTATGTGTAGGCCCAAATGTTGACCGTGTAGTAAAGAAAAAAAAATTCAAAGCCTCAGATGATCCCAAGGATATATGGATAGATTAAGCTCACTCTTATAAATCTACTTGTCTAGGTATTAACTCTAAAGGTAGTGATTGAGGTAATGTTTTTTGATCTCAAAATTGAAATTTTGTTTGGCTGGTCGGAAGGTAGTACAAAGTAGACGTTAACTACTGTAATGTCTTCAACATCTCCAAATTGAAATCCTTTGTGGAAAACAAGGGATTAGGGCTTGAGGCCACAAAGGTTTTTCTCTCAAGTATGCACCACCAAGCTTTCTACACTGTTTTATTTGAATTCATTACCTTGGCCACTATGTGAGCGTCAAATTGGACCTCTGTTGTTTGACTCCCATGATTAGGTCATTGATACAACACATCCAGATTCCCACTTGACTCAGTTGGGCCAGCTTTTATTCAATTCTTGCTCATGTTTCTTGATCTTTATTTTTTTCTGTTTCCTTTTTTTCTTTAAAATTTTGTTTTTGTTTCCTTTGCTAATCATGATTTTTTTACAGGGCACATTTTTCAACACTTCAACAATCAACATCGCTTTTATATTCAGAATTATCTTTAGTCAACTTTTTTTTACATCTCATTACTTCTTTTGTTTCTCTTTCTTAATTTGTTTATGGCTCTTGCACCTCGGCACTCAAGCCTTCTTATAGGAGGGGAGAATGTAATGTTACAGACTCCATTACAAGCATAAGGCAACCATAAGCCTTATACATGTTCACACAATGTTTTTTCTTTTTTACTTGCCTCACAGTAAACTAACTCATCAGGGAAAATAGACTGATCTATTATATCATCCTCTGGAGTTAGGTGAGAACATCCTTTTCTTTTATTTTTAATCTCTTTCTTTATGTCATGATTGTATTGTCAGGGAAAATAGACTGATCTATTATAAAATCCTTTGGAGTTAGATAATAAACACCGTACTTTGGTTCTAGAATCAGTCCAAGATCACAATTCTGATACTCAGTTTCCCTCAGCCCATATATTCAATAATTATGAGAGCTATTAGTGAGGACCAAAATTAGGTCCTTTACACTTGACCATGGCTTACCACAGGGATTGCCATTGTCACCCCTAATCTATCTCTTATATAATTCTTTGCTGCTAGGAATAACTGACAATATCCCAACACCAACAGCTTTAGGATTCATCAACAATGTGGTATTAGTCTCATTGGCCAACGACACCACCAGCTCGGCTCCCAGATGCAAACACTCTCTTTTTGCCAACAAAAATTGGCAAAGGACCATGGCGCAATCTTTGATACAAAGAAGAAGTTCTGGGTCCTATTTAGCTTACAAACACACAAAATTACCCCAACCATTGACATTGCCAAAAGGAAGCACATCAAACCGTCCTCTTTTGCCAAATGGCTAGGGGACAAGATAGATGACAAACTCACCTTCAAGCAGCAACACCTTGGTGTCATCGCCAAAGGTCAACAATGAGCAGGCTTATTGCAAACAGGGGGGAATCTCACCAAACCTTGTCAAGATATTGATGACAACCACCATCCACACGGCCACAGACTATGGTGCAATGGTGTGGCTCCCAACAGAGCCTTCAGTTTTCTTTGTTGATCAACTCACACTCATCAACAACATCTGTTCCAGAGCCACCTTAGGGTCCCTGAGCACCGCACCAACTGTCTTCCTTTGCCATGACCTCAACATGCTCCCTCCTAAAGCTTGCTTACAGAGCAAATGCCTAAGTTTTATGGACAGATCTCTAGCCAAATCAAAAACTCACCCATTCTTTGCGCTGGTCCAACAGGCACAGCACACAAACCCAAAATCCCACCAGAACCCTGTCCATCAACTCTTTCAACACAGCCTTCACAAGAAATTTGAAGAGTTTGTGATCCAACTCCCAGTAGGCCCAGCATCTACTCTCATAAAACCTCAAAATCACTCAACTGTACTACAAGAAAACAAAAATGTTGCAAAAATCAATGCCATTCAACTAAAACCGTCAGCTCTGCATTCATTAATTTTCACAGACGGGTCTATGATCCTGAAGAAATCACGGCAGCAGTGGCATGGTGCGCCAACAACAAATAATCAAAATCTGAACATTCTGGGCGAGCACATTTGCATGGGATCTATCAAGCGGAATACCACGGAGTCCAGCTGGGACTCACAATAGCCATTCAACAAGAAACACCCACAACCCGCCAAACAACCATTGTTTGTGACAATCAGGGTGTTGTCAAAGACCTCCAATCCAACTCATCATCAGTCTCATCACTCGACAACCACCAATGCACATTCAAAATCCTTCAATTCCTACATCAAAGTTTACCACACATGTGTGTCAAAATACGGTGGTGCCCCGGACACAAAGGTATATCTGGAAACAAAGCAGCCAATGAAATTGCTATCACACTGGCAAAGTGATCTATGCCCAGAACTTTTACTAACACCCCTAACTTAGCAGCTTTCATTTCCGCAATCAAGGAAATTGATGGACAACAGAACAATCAATTTTTTTCAATGACAAACAAACCAATTGATGCCTTACACATGCAACACAAACAAAAAAGCACCTTGATGGCCTCTTGAAGTTACCCAAGCACAAAGTCGCCACAATCACCTGTACCTGAACTACTTCAAACAGCCTATTGACCCAGTATGTGACTGCCAAGAAGGACTAGACACCATTGAGCATTTCCTACTTATATGCCAGACTTATGAACAGCATCACAACACACTTGAACACACTCTTCAAGAATTTACCACAAAAATGGACAAAAAATTCTTATCAAACCCAAAAAGTTTCAAACTTATTGCCACTTACTGCAACTCCACACGGAGATTTGCTAACCATTGCATCTGGGCAAAATCCACGGATCAAGCACCGCCGCCAAACAAACCCCAACCTTTAGAATAGGTACCTCCTTTTTCTTACCCCATATTTCATTCCCTTATCCAACAACATACTATAATACATGTAAACTAGATGAAACAGCCAACAGCAACCCTTTCCCCTGACACAGCCAGAGGGGTTTTATTGGTGCCGGGCATATTAAGGAGTTTTTGATAGCCTAGCAGCTACAAAACCACTTAAAACAATGCAATAAAAAATGGTGGAGGTTGTCTTGTTGGCAACCTGCTTCAATTGTGTGGAACAAATGGGCGTGTGCACTATAGCGGGCGTGCCCGCCTGTTCTCCAGTTTTAAGAAAAAAGATGCGATCGTGCCAGGCGTGACCAAGGGCACGAGAATTGTGCTGCGCCCGCCACATGAGCCCCTATCCATGTAAATGCTGAGTCAATCGTGAAGCCCTCAATGAAACTTCAACTCAACTCAACTCAACTCAACTCAGCTCAGCTCGTCAATCGATCAATCGATCAATCGATCAATGGAGCCCTCCTCTTCTTGCCAATCATCATCGTCATTATCGCTTCATGCTTCGAATCGTGTCGATATCGAAATCTCACTTCGAATTCAACTCAAAGAATTGAATGAACAATTAAATCAACTCAACTCTAAAGTCAGTCATCTTTCTCACTGCATCTGTTTCTGATTCAATCTGATCCCTTCTCTCCGCATACCTAGCTCGTAGGTTCGTTCGAAAGAATCGCCAACTTAGAGGACGAACTTCATGAATCGACACAAAACCATAATCTAATCAAATCAAGAGTCGGTAATCCATCTCCCCATAATATTCAACCCTTCTGGTATCTTACTGTGGTCCATGTCATTGCAGAACAAGGTCCTAGAAATCGAAGCTGCCGAACATGAAGAAGCGCTTAAAGGTGGTCTTCTGGTCGAAAGTGTTAGCATCTATCGTCATTCGAGGTCCGATCTCTGAACTTGCATCCATCACTAATCATGCTCCTGAACGTCGATAAATCAGGCTGACGTACAAGCCGAACTTCAGCGTCTGACTCATCGCGCTCTTCAAGAGGCTGAGAAAAGGTCTCAATCCGAAGCTTCACTCAGCACAATCAACAAAGAATTAGATGACTTATCCGCAAGTCTCTTCTCGGAAGCTAATCGTCTTGTGGCAGCCGAGAAATTACAGAGAATTAAAGCTGAACGTAAGGTGGTAGAAGTGGAAGAGGCTATGAAAGGCGTGGAAGAAGTGATCGAGTCTCGTAGAGATCAACTCAATGATCTCAGGGTTTGCCTCGAGAATGCTGAACGCGAAAGGGATGAATACAAGCTGCAATTGATGGCATTTCAAAATCCTACACACGCATCAGATTGTGGACAACATCCTTTAGCCAACGAACTGTCACAGGAATATATCGCAAGTACATCTCATCCTACGCTGGCGTGCAATCCAACCGACACCAGCTCTTCCATTATAGCCTCAGTCTTGCCCGATAACAATCACGACTCCAGTATCCATCGGATCCCTTCTTTGCCCTACACTCCTGGTCGCAGTCCTGGTATATTCCCTTTTCAGCAGCAGCAGCAGATCAAAAACTTGGAAGATATTCTTCCCTTTCAGGAGTTTGTTCAATTTACAAGATATCTCATCCGAATGCGAACAGATGCCTTGGCTCGACCTGCACCACAGCAAAATGGTTTCAGTGAATCTTACTATTCGGCTGCCGCAGCCATGAATAACGTCACAACTAACCCCTCATCTACCTTCAGTCAATACCGTCATTCGATGGCTGGTGGCCTCGTTAAAGATCAGCTCAATCCCATTAGTCCTAAGGAGCTTTTGGCTCCCATCTTGCCAATGTCTCAACATCTATCTCAAGCCTTCATCAAGCGCTGTATTGACGAAGACTCGGATCCAGCCTTACGTCTCGACCTTGCGCCCGGCTTGAATTTTCTATCTCGACGGTCCATCTTCACAGCCCTCGTCGACGGTCACTTGGTCATCGAACCTGTCTGGAGTGATATCGGAGCAGAGTTTGACAAGTGTTCCTTATGTGGCTGCCCTTTGGATAGGTGGTTCCCCGCTCGCACTTCACTGGGTAATGCGTTCCGTGCCAATGCCAACAGGACAACCTCCACCATCGGCTCTACCTCTGCAAGCTCCACCATGAGGAAAATGTTGGGTGGTGGCGGCTGGACATTCGGATCTCTAAGCCGTAACAAACAGCAAACCGCGACCGCGGGTGTCTTCATGTCCAAGCCTTCAAACTCGTCGACCTCTCGTAGCTCTCGGCACGTAGAAACTATATTTTCTGCACCAGCTCACAGCGCAACTCCTAGCGGTCGTACTAGTCCCACTCCGGAAGAAAGCGAAGCGGTCTATGTCCACACTTTTCGAGCAGCCGACACCTCATCAAATCGATATCCGATCTGCCCGACTTACTGTCTTGGCCGTCTCAGGTCGGTTTGTGACTTTTGGACTTATGTTCGGTCAATTGAATGTGGGCTGCTTCTGGACGAGAGCTTTCGTTTTGCTCGTCGCCCGTCTCAGAGGGGGTCGAGGAGCCTTGAGCCTCATAGTTTAGGCTTAGCTTATGACACAACCTTAAAAATGGTCAAACAAAAAGGAAGGAGTTCAGAGTCGGTCATTGATTCCCCAGTCCTCACACACTCTGTCCTACATTCGTCAGATTCGTCACGAGAGGACACCACTCATACCTCCATCCACCCTGTCCCCTCATCAAACACGCCTCCTGCTTCACTGACCGCCGCCGCTGATAACACTAGCTCGTCCTCGGGATCAGGTCCTCTACCTTTGGCTGACTTGAACAATCATCAAGATGTCAACAAGTCCGATACCAGCATAGCTGCAATTCCAGAGCCGTCCTCGGCCAAGGCTGTTGTAACAGACTCGCAGTGTCAACCAACATCATCATCCCAGTTATCAAGGACCAAGACAGTTTCTCTTCCTGCCCCACCGCCTGTTCCTCGCCGGTCTACAGTGCGCGCTCAATCTATTCCTCCTCTCGAAGTTGCACCTATCTCTCCTAAAACCACCACTGGAACATTCAGTCCTTCAACTTCGAATTCCATCATTGTCACTGCTCATGTGAGTCGAGATTCGATCTCGAGTGAATTCTCTTCAGCACCTACTAGTGATGAACCAGGCTCCGCAAATCGAGGTAAAACCACCCTTTCTTCGCAAGCTATCCCAAGATATCTCACTCGTAAGACGTCCACTACTGGAAGTACAACTGAAGGTGAGATGGATCTTGATGGCTTAGAAACTGGTTGGGAAGAAAAATGTTGGTGTCATCTGATCAAATTGAAGGAAGACATGTTCCACAAACGAGTCGGAGTCTCGATCATTTTGTGATTCCTGTTTTGACTTTTTGCATCTTGCTTTTATTGTCATGAGATGTTTCCCACCTTATTGCTGTCTTTGTCTGCCTTTCTGTTTGTTTTTCGCCTTTGTTTGATGTGATTGTTGCATTATATGTATCTCTAGAACTTCATATTATGCTTTGACAAAACTCGATCGAGTTGCATTTGACCATTTGATGGTCTCAGCATTCACAAAGTATTACTCCATACTCATTGCACATCTGGGTTACATCAACAGTCTCAAATTTCTGTATCACAACAATGTTGTCTCCGATTTTTCTTGACTTGGTCAAAGCCTACCAAAGACGAACAAATGGGGCTTTGAAGAGCTTTGAACATATGAAGAGGCTCAATCTGGAAAAGGTATGGTTAATCAGACAGTCTCATATATGTATCTTGAACAAGTCTAGGGGTTGGGAGTATGTATCCTGATGCCTCACGGGAATGATGGTTTTCGGATTCGGCTATGAACAATAACCGTTGAGGATACTACATACATATAGTGAAAGTGACGTCATGAGAGAAAAGTTAACAATCGCCACAAATTGGCTGTTGACCAAGATCATTCGTCCCATTTTACTTTCCACTTCATCACTCTTAACATCAACTTTTATTCGATTTTAATAAACATATCTTGACTCAGTGAGATGCCCACAATGCTTCCTGAAGGGGTTACCATAAATGCTGTGATCGAAGAAGGGCATCGTTCAATTCTCACCAATGAAGCTCTCAAGTTCCTCGCCACTCTACATCGATACTTTGAACCAACCCGTCGGACTTTGCTCCAACGTCGTCAACTTGAACAAGCTAGGCTCGATGCAGGTGGACTTCCCGATTTCCATTCGGAAACCAAGTGGATTCGTGATGATTCGTCTTGGCAAGCAGCTAGTCCTGCGCCGGGTTTGGTAGGTTTATCTGTGCATTACAACTTCAAGTGTCCATCAGGCAACTAACGCTAGCATCCACTCAAAAAACTGCAGACAGACCGCCGAGTAGAGATCACGGGTCCAGTTGACCGCAAGATGGTGATCAATGCACTTAACTCGGGATCTGCCACCTACATGGCCGATTTTGAAGGTTCGTCTGCTTGAATTACATAGTATCTGCCTCGCAATAAGTCCACTGAGATTGAGGAGACACTCCCTTTTTAGACTCCCACGCCCCGACGTGGTTGAATAACCTTGATGGACAAGTCAATATGTACGATGCCGTCCGTCGCCAAATCTCCTTCAAGGGGCCGAATGGAAAATCATATCAATTGAACCCCAAGATTGCCACTCTCATTGTGCGCGCGCGCGGTTGGCATCTAGACGAGAATCACGTCTTGATTGATGGTCAACCAATCAGTGGAGGGATTTTTGATTTTGGTCTTTACTTTTTTCACAATGCTCACGAGTGTGTCAAGCGCGGCTTTGGTCCATACTTTTATCTTCCTAAAATGGAGCATTACCTCGAGGCTAGATTATGGAACGATATTTTCAAGTTATCTCAGGTCAGGGAGTCAACTGTGAAACCAATGACGAACTTCCAGACTGACAATTTTACTATTTCAACAGGATTACATTGGAATCCCACGCGGGACGATCCGTGCCACATGCTTGATCGAAACCATTCCTGCTGCTTTCCAGATGGATGAATTCATCTTTGAGCTCAAGGAACACTCTTCTGGTCTCAACTGTGGGAGATGGGACTGTGAGTCATACGTTTTGATCAGATTTATCGTACGCTGATGCTTTAACCGTCATTTTTAGACATATTCTCCTTCATCAAAAAGATGCGAGAGCATCCACAATTTGTATTACCTGACCGCTCGGATGTGACTATGACTGTTCCATTCATGGATGCTTATGTTCGCTTGTTGATCAAGACCTGTCATCGACGAGGTGTGGCGGCGATGGGTGGGATGAGTGCCCAGATTCCCATCAAGGATGACCCGAAGGCCAACGAACTGGCCATGAACAAAGTCAAAGCCGATAAGCTGAGAGAAGTCAAGGCGGGACATGATGGAACTTGGGTAGCTCATCCCGCCTTGGTTAAAGTCGCCCTTGACATTTTCAAGTTCAGTTTTTCTCCGATGATTCTGCTTCGAGATATCTCTGTGCTAATTTCTGTTTCGACTCCAGTGAGTATATGACTGGGCCTAATCAATATCATGTCCGCCGCGAGGAAGTGAAAGTCACTGCACTTGATCTTCTCAACACCAACGTTCCTGGAAAAGTCACGGAACATGGTATTCGGGAGAACGTTTCGGCTGCGCTACAATATTGTGCCAATTGGGTTTCTGGAGTTGGATGCGTTCCGATTGCAAACTTGATGGAGGATGCTGCCACCGCGGAAATTGCTCGGCTTCAGATTTGGCAATGGGCTCGTCATGGTGCCCTAACTGATGCTGGTAAAAAAGTTACAGCAGAGTGGCTCGAGGGAATCATTGCAGAGGAATCTATAAAGGCTAAGCAAACCACTGCTAAGGGACTCAATCCTGCCAAGGTCGATCTTGCGAAGCGATATTTGACCGCGCAAGTAAAGGCCCATCTTCCTGATGACTTCTTGACTTCGGCTCTTATGACTAGGTCGGTGAACTTATGCTTGGACAGGATCCCTTTGATAATTTGTCTGACTGATTTACTTTTTGGGGATTTGAAATTATAGTTTGGATGATATGGCTGCTCCTAATCGCCCCAAACTTTGAGTAGATAGATCTGCCTCTTAGTAAAACGTGGACAAAACGTTGGCCCTCTGGTCTTCACTATAAATTTTCTGAATTCTGATCAATAGTAACTAATTCCATTGTACAAAATATGATGTAGAGCTTAGTGCCCGCCAGTTTGTAAAACAATGAAGATATTTGAACTTGTCCTCCATGATCAAAGTAGATATCAGACCACTTTGAACTTTGCTCTAACAGCGATTGTGAATGTAAATCTTCCATGCCAATTATGCAGGTCCAATATATTAGTATACTCAAGCTTGAGTCATATTCATCAACTGTACCTTTAGATCAAGTACGGGTGTACATTGAATCATGTATGGTCCATGGACTAAATGATGCATGTCTTCTGAGGAGTAAAGGGTTGTCCATGTAGACTCTGGAGCTGTAGAAATCAAGATTCAGGGACTGGTCATTACAAACTGATTGATTCTTGGGTGACCATGCATGTAAATTCTTGAAATGGCTTGATAGGACATGCGCAGTTCATAAATAAGTGGATAGTCTTAATCAGTTCTAGGAAAACTGTCGATTGGCACATCAAAAGCATCAGTTCTGATAGCTAAACAGTAGAAGTCATCCTCTATCATCAAGTGGTGGGTCTCCTCTAACATAAAGCTCCAACCTCTGATGGCACCCGTGACTCACGAAGGCGAACCGTTTTGCCTTCATTGTATGTACCGCTAGCCTCGGTCCCGACTTCATCAAGGAGACCGGGACATTCCCGCCCCGCCCCGTAGACAACTGCAGTGGAGATCAGTGGCAGACTGGCAGTGCAGGGAAAGGCAATTCTTTACGTCATCTTGATTCCCAATATCATCAAGTCATGAAATACTACTGAGACCCTATATATTCTTGATTCTGCAATAAGCAAGGGCTCAACCTGAATTCCAAATTGACTCACTTTCAATCAAAGAGAAACAATCAAAAGCGAGTTAATGAAGAAACTTTCCAACAGAAGACTGTTATCTTTAAAGAACCATGTCAGTTTATGATATTTTCGAAAGAATTTTGCTAGATGAAGACCAGCCGAGCGCTCCACCTGGTAGTCCCATCGATAGGAATGGTAAGTGATCATTTGAGTCTTTGAAGTTCAAGTCATTCTTGATTCATATTCTGACTTGGTTTGTTGTCCTTGGATATCTGATAGATCGATTAAAGAATTCGAATTGGTTCGAGACTCAATTAGCATTAGCTTTGTTCATTGGGATCAGTTCTTTCTTGATCTTTTGTTCGGCTAGAATTCGGTTCCCTGCTACATTCTCAACTCGAACTTATCTTCGTCATCAAACAAATTCCCTAGGATTCTTCTCCTGGATCTTACCTACTCTTAGAACTCCTGATTCGACTATTCTCAACAACAACGGTTTGGATGCTTTAGTAGTCAGTCATCCTTTTGATCTTGACTTTGAAGGATGATTCTGATTTGATTCTTGACGATTAGCTACTCTATTTCTTCAAATTAGGATTTTACTTTTTCCTTACCATTGCCATCCTCGCTTTTTTGATACTCGTACCCATCAACGTACATGAGAATGGCACAACAGAAGGTGTACCAGCCGATCCTACACCTCCCTCTCAGAACTTTCTCCATCATGATAAATCAGTTCAGCTTCGACTAGTAGTTCCTATCAAGACCCTGACTCAGCATCTTACTCTGTATCATATATCACATCTAGCATTTACTTACATCTTCAGTTTAATCTTACTTCGGTTTTTACAGCATACTTACTTCAAGCTTATCAATATCAAACCTCGTGTTGGTCTCTCAAATTCAAGTTCGTCTCTTCGTACGGTTCTCATTGAGAAATTACCTGCTCATCTTCGAAACGATCAAGCTTTGACGGACTATTTTGACCAAGTGATTGACTATCCTGTTCAATCTGCTCACGTTCTCAAGGATGTCACTAGTTTGCTACCTCTCCTCCAATCTAGAACATCAGCACTCAAACAACTTCAACGAGGTTATCAGATCTATCAGCAAAAGTCTTCTGAACCATTCGACTCGTCAGCACTGGCAACTCAATCTAGATTTCGACCTCGATATCGTCCAAGTTGGTTTAGTCTTAAAACTGTCGATTGGATCGATCATTGGAAATCTGCATTTGATGAAGCAGATCGTCTTGTCCAACAAAGAAGAAAAGGAAAATTCAAAACATTGTCATTTGCCTTTGTTACCTTTAAGAATTTGGATCATGCTCAAATCTTATGTCAAACTATCCATTGGCCGAGACCTGATCAAGCTCTGATCTCATTAGCACCCGATTCAAGAAACATTCAGGTAGATCTATATTTCTTCATTTTCTTTTGACAATCAACCAGCCTTCTCAGTGGATTGTTTTTACCTTCCCAATCTAGTGGTCGAACATTGCTATCTCATCTACATGGCTTCGTCTGCGTCAGACAGTTGTCTGGATCTTAATGGCTCTTCTTTATGGGTTTTGGGCCACTCCGATTTCATTTTTAGCTAAACTGATGTCTTATGAAACATTAGTGTCCTGGTTGAGTCCGGTCGTGGTGGAGCTGATCGAGAGAAGTAATGTTGTAAAGGCTTTGATCCAAAACTCCTTACCTACTTTAGCGATCATCATCTTCAATGCTCTCTTACCAACCCTATTGGATTGTAAGATTGAAACCTTTCCTAATCTCACGCTCACCATCAGGATTGTCAGCAATTTACTTACCTGTTGGATTTACTTGTTGATAGGGTTATCCACGTTTCAAGGCTTCAAATCGAGGAGTGAGATTGAATATTCTCTGCTCAGGAAATATCATCTCTTCCTCCTTGTGTGAGTCTATTATCACAAACATGGACTATCCTTTGCTCTCTGCCTTCTTTTTCTGACCCTTTTTTCGTATCTTGCAGAACTGTACTATTCATTTTCGTGGCTGTCTCGACATTCTCCCTCTTGCGAGATTTACGGGACAATCCAGGAGGGCTGATTGACAAACTAGCAACCTCCTTACCTGGTGCTAGAAACTTTTTTATCTCTTATCTCACCCTTCAATCACTCGCTATTCTTCCACTTCAACTACTTCAATTGCCTACACTTGCTTTAATGCCTTTCTATAATTACCAGAACACGTTGGAAGTCATGAGTCTCGGCACAATTTATCCACAAGCCTTATTGGCCTTCAACATCTGTATGGCTTACTCGGTCATTACTCCTGTGATACTTATCTTCGGGTGCTTATACTTTGGTATGGCGTACTTGGTTTATAAGTACAAAATCATCAACAGTTCAGTTCCTTTTCGTATATTTTCTTGCATACTCTCTGTAGATGTCTGATTGTCTATCACTTCTCATTCAGTTTATTGTAGACCATACGAAAGTAGGGGTGAGGCATGGCCTATTGCGTGCAATAGGATTGGATGGGGTTTAATAATGTTAGTGTCCTCTCATTTCTTTGAACGGGGCCATAGAAAGGACTGATCAATCAAACATCTTGATCAGTTTTCAAGTCTTCATGCTTGGACTTTTGTCCCTTCGACAAGTGTTCTTGCTTTCGACTTTGGTTTTACCCTTGATAGCTTATACAATCTGGAGACTCTTTAAACTAAACCAGGTTTATAAGAAGCATCTCAAGTTCATCAGCTTGTCTCAAATTCGAGAATCTTCGGTTGCAATGGAGCCCAATGTCAGTAGCTATTTTTTCACGCATCTATCATGTGAAGCTCATTAAAATGATCTTTTGTTTTTAAAACGAGGGTAGACTGATGGTTCAGATCAGGAGGGTAAACATCTAGTTGCAATCTTCATAGGGATAGTAGATCATGATGAGACCAGACCATATGGTCACCCTGCCAGTTGCGTCCCATTCAAGCTTCATCCTTGTTTTCTCACTCTGTGACCTAGACTGATATGTAATCTTTGGACGTGATAGTCACAGGCCGATTACCCATGCCAGAGGTACCTGATGAAGGGGTCTATCAGCCAATTGGTGAATGACGTGTTTTGTGTGTAGTTTGAATGAATCTTCTCCAAGTATCATATAGTAAAGTTTGTCTGCGTAGCATCTGCATTTCTTCTGTTTGTCTGCGTAGCATCTGCATTTCTTCTGTTGATCTACGTAGCGTCTGCATTTCTTCCATTGGTCTACGTAGCATCTGCATTTCTCCATTTTTTCTGTTCCAAGTCTAAGATGCATTCAAGAAGTTCATTGTATGACTTTGAGTATACGTGACGTATCTGTAGTTTACCAAAAAGCACATTTGTAACATGCAATCTAACATCCATTTGCAATTGAGTTTTCCATACAATGATAAACTTGACTGCTTGCCATAGCCAGCAAGAGTTGAAGTCAGAGGTAAAAGTAATCTGTTGTGTACACACATGATACATAGCTGGTGGGAATACTTTTTGATCCTCTACTTTTTGTAAATGGCTTCAGCACATAGACAAACAGTAATTTCTGGATTGAATTTGAACCAACCTACAAAGGAAGGACTAGGTGAAATAGTCCATGGCTAAAGGGAGGAGTGTGAGGAAGATGATCATTGGATGTCACAGCCAGTGACAGGCAGAGGCACAGCCCCGTGTCATCCTCTAGAGAACGAGAATCTCCTAACCTGAAAAATATTATCAAAATTCTCTATCATCACCTGTCTACACCTGTCTACACTCTAGGGTGGCTGTTGAGCGCCAAATGAGTCAAAACCCCAGAGTGCAAAAAATCAACCTGAACCTTGCCCTCAAAGCTCTGTCCAGCCTATCCCAAGTTTGACCAACAACACTTTGTCCATTGTCACTCCCTGTCTGCTGAATGTTTATTCCACCAAGTGTTTCTTCATATCAGTGACAGAGCGATCCTTCTCTGGAGTTATTATAAGGAGCATTGGACTTACAATGCACTAAGATTCTTCTTCTGAGCAATTTCTGTTGAAAAACATGTTGCATTTTTTTCTCAGTGTTTGCTGTAGAAAAGCAAGCTGCACCAATTGCTTAAAAAACAATCATCATATCCAATGATCATCAATGTATCACAGTTCCATGGTCACATCACAGGGAGATCACAAGTATATATTTGAAAGATCTGTATGATAAACACAACATTACTCATGAGGATACTTTTAAAGATTGTCATCTTGAACAACTGCATTTTTCTAAAAACATCACTCACTGGGTGAATGATGATCTGAGATTTAGGACCAATATTTCATACATAGATGATTGGAAAACAAATAGGAAAAGAAAGACAAATGAAAGAATGAGATTAAGTGGAATGAAAAGATTTTTTGGTCTGGGGCAACAGACTTGCAATGGACTTGCGCTTGGAATAAGCTTGAGCGGTCTTGCAGGGGGAGTTTCATGTGAGAATTTTGCATTTTTGGGTTTTGACTCGTTTGGTGCTCCACAGCCACTTACGGGATACAAAGTTGAAGCTGGGCACATGCCTGGCTTTGTGCCCAGATTTTTTTTGGCAGTAAATTCAAATTCTGGGCCCAGACTTTTGCCCAGAAAATCAAAATTTACTGCCAAAATAATTCCGGGCACGTTCCCGGATTCTACTTTGTATCCCACAACTGTAACACTCCCCTAGTACAGCCATTGTAAGATCCATTGTTAGCTTAATGCAAGCCCTCTCTGTGCGTCCACGTCTGCGTGCCTTGCAGACAGGCAGCCGATTGGCAAATTCTGGCACTGAGACACCAACCCTTCAGTCCTCTCAAGTTGTTTTTTTGCTTTTTCCTGCTTTCCTTGCTGATAAACACCACTTTACCTTGCAGGCAATGTTGTTTGGCATGATTTTCTACACACACTGGTAGATGTTGTTGGCACTCTGAGTGATGTGACCAACCAAGTAGGTTGAAAATTTTTACAACCCCTGCCTGTACTGTCTGTTTTTTGGATTCCAAGGCATGTACGTATAGGGGCAAACAGACAGAAACCAAAACTATTGAACTAGTATTAGTTATAAAGTCTACCAAAACAAAGTGAGTTGTGATAGAGACCAAACACAAGATAGGAAGAAATGTGAACTCTTTCCCTGAAACAGGTTTGGCAAGGCAATACAACAATGATGTTAAGAGAAATAGTGAAAACAGTTCCATCCCAAACTTCCTACAACTTTCAACTAGGCTGAATCAAAAATGGGTGAGACTGGGCTGAATGCCTAGCCATCCATGGTGCTTTTTCACCTCAGCTGTAACAGTATGTTTCAAATACAGCGTGTACACCCCTTTATACAAGTGAGACAGAAAGCCTGGATACTTGTCTGGCAAACGGAATGATAAAGCATTCTTTCCTGGTTGATCAATGGCTGAAGACATGTAGAAACCAATCCTGCACAGCCAGCATATTTGCCTCAGATGCAAAAATCCGAGGAGTCCTTGGATTTTGACACCAAGGCAAGCTCCATCCAAGGAGCCAATACAAAGCAACGGCCAGGGCCAGAAATTGTCTCAGGGGTTTTCCTGGGGTGCCCTGTTCCTTGGGGGGGCATCCAAGGACTCCTTGGACATTTGTTGCTGAGGGAACTATGCGGGCAGTGCTGAAGATAGTTGCCTGCAAGGTAAAGTGGTATTTATCAGTGATAAAAGCAGGAAAAATCGAAAAACAAGTACTTAAAAGGACTTAAGGGTTGGAGTCTCCATGCCAGAATCTGAGACTTAGCTGTAAGCCCCTCTGCAAGGTGCACAGACGTGGCTGCACAGAGAGATCTATCGGTAGATTTTTGCCAAGTTGTTTTGTTGCCAGATTCAACTTTCAAAGTCAAAAACTCAAGATTATTTCACTTTCAGGTTGAACTCTATTGTCCTTGCTCTAGATTGGAAACCTGGACAGTAGAGTTATCAATATCAAAAGGGCTTTTTAGAGCTTTTGACCGCTAGATTAAATCTGGCAACAACACAATGACCTCAAAATCTGCTGATAGATTTTACAACGGCTGTACTACCATAGTTCAGAAACTATTTATCTCTCTCTCTAATTTTTCAACCATCCACCCACCCAGCAGAGTATCCAAAGCCAGAGTTTTTGTGTCACTGAGAATTCAGGAGCACACAAAAACCTCCGGCCAGGCGCTTTGTTTACCCATACCAGGTTCGAAGCAAGTTGAGGAATTGACTGAATTTGAGCCACATAGCTGGTTATGTAAGGACAAGAGTTTATACCCATGTATTGCAGTTTTGACAAAAGACACCACCTACTCTTTTTATTCTTTGAAGGTTACACTACAAAAGATTACTCACCCAGATTCTACATAAGAGGGTAGTCAAATTATCAGAATCTTGCTTATCTTTTGCACTCCTTGCTGTCTTTTCATCTGAGATGCACAAACTTTGACATGGTTGCAACCAAAGCTCAGCATTGCAATGCACATCCCAGCAACTGGGGGAAAAAGCATCTCCAGCTTCATTCTGATCCTACCACAGGTCAATGGCCAAAAAAGTGAATATGAGTTTCATTTACTTGAATAATTGGAGGCCAAAGAGGTGGGGTGGTAATGAGGAGCAGGAAGGTGGGAGGATACTTGAAACGTGGATTGCAATCTACAAAGTTTGGCACATCATTGACTACGGCTACTCTATGTAGAATCTAGGTCAGTAATTATTAGTGCAACCTTATATAAAACACGCAGGTGACGTTTTTTCTTGAAACTGCTGTAATGCAATAAAATGTGATTACCTGTGGCAAACTTGCATTAGTATAATGGACTCATAAGACAGTAGAGCTAAAGGAGTCCTGCTGAATCATGATCTATGAATACTTTGGGAATAAATCAAAATAAATTCATGATGGTCAAGTTCTTCAAGTTACAATTCTCAATTTTACTGGGGATTATTCAGTTATTTATTGGGTACAGATATTATTGAATGTATTATACCTAGGTGATCAAATGAGAAAGTAAAGCTGTGATTGAGAAAAGCTGAGAAACAATAAGGTACTGTAGTTGAGTTATAGTATGAGTATGGTTCAGATTATTTAATTGTGGGAGGAATTTGATATGTTTTTAATTGCGGATGTGTGTTCTCTGTTCTTATGTTTTTCTTTGTATATATGTGCACTTCTGTTTGCCTACAGAATCTTTTTCCTCTGTCAAGGAAAAAGATTCTAAAGCCAATGTATTAATTATTCTTCATCTTATAGCTCCTAAACTGAATTGCTTCACTGTATTATATCTTCATTTCTCTTTTACAATATGTTAGATTTTCTTATCATCTTTTTCAGGTCTGTTGAGTTTAGACCTTGTCCCATCTCTGTTATTCAGCTGTGTCTCATTAACACAAAACCTGAAGAGATTGTCTTCAAATTTATCAGGGTGTGTTTGTGGGTCATACTTGCTCCTTAGTCAAAGAAAATGATCCTGAAAAGTTTCTTGCAATCTTTGTCAGGTCTGTTGAGTTTGGAACTTATCCCATCTCTGTTGTTCAGCTGTGTCTTGTCAACACAAAATCTCAAAAGATTGTCTTCACCTTTATCAAGGTGTTTTATTTAGGTCAATCATGTGATAAGCTGTTAAATGCATCTATGTGAAGAAGCCCAAGGGATGGAGTGTTACCTTGGCCACCAAGTGGATTGATTGTTTGTTGAGCCACTGAGAACCACAAGAAAAATGTCAAGATATCTGATAGGTCTTAACCCAAAGTAAGATCAAAAGACCTTTACTTGTTACCATGTTTTGTAATGTTTTTCTCCTGTTCCCCACTTGTATAACCTTCAAAGCTACATTGGTTGTGCTGTAGGAGTATACTTGATGTACAGCACCCACAGTGCAAGTTCTACACCACAGGGCAAGTCCAGCATGAGGGATATGTGTCTCTACCGGCCCCCTCATAACAAAGTGTGACAACTACATCAGAACAACTGTACATGGGATCAATACACCTTGATTTGTAACCATTGGGTTTGACTGGTACCAAAATCTGGCACCACATTCCTTTCTGCATAGATTTCCAACTATGTACAGATAAATAACTTCAGATTCTTATCTATGCTTTGTTTGATCA